ACAATGTTTGCTGCATGTTGAATTTGCTTATAATCAGAGCATCTATTCAGCAACTAATTGTTCACCATTTGAAGTTGTGTATGGTTTTAATCCACTTACTCCTTTGGATTTATTACCATTACCTATTGATGCATGAGCTAGTTTGGATGGAAAAAAGAAAGCTAAAGTGGTTAAGCAACTACATGAGAGGGTGTGACAAAACATAGAGCGACGAACTGAACAACATGCAAATCAAGCCAACAAAGGGCACAAGAAAGTTGTGTTTGAACTTGGAGATTGGGTTTGGGAATATATGAAGAAAGAGCGATTCCCTACAAAAAGGCGTTCTAAGTTGCAACTAAGGCGATGGACCATTTCAAGTGATTGCAAGGATTAATGACAATGCATACAAGTTGGAGCTTCCTAGTGAGTATAATGTTAGTGCTACTTTTAATGTTTCTGATCTTTCTCCTTTTGATGTAGGTTATGATTTGAGGACAAATCCTTTTGAGGAGAGAGGGAAAGATGAGAATCAAGATGACCGCACATGTACCACGTCAAGAGATCCATTACACATTCTAGGAGGTCCAATCACGAGAGCTAGAGCTAAAAAGATGCGAGAAACTTTAAATGGCCTTATTGAGCAGATCTAGGTTGATAACAACATGCAACAAGTAAATCAAAGCTTGGATGATTATCAAGGCATGGTAAACATCATTTAGGTTCAAAAGAAGCTTAATTGAGGTGATTTATGTTGAATTACATAGTTTGTGTCAAAATACCGCAATTATGTCGCAATTTGTAACAAACTAATATTTCATGTTACTTTAGGTTATTTTCAATGATTTTCACATTTTTTGTATTATTTTTGGGCTGAACATTCATTTATTTGAAGGTCAATTCATGGTTCTTAGGTGTATGACTTAGGGTTTTAGTTTCCTATTTTGATTAGAATTACTTTTCCTTATTTAAAGGCCTTGTAACCCTAATTGGAGGGAGCTATTGAATTTGAGTTTTTGAGAGACTTTTCTCTTTGGTTCGTTTCAGAACTTTACCGAACTGATCAAGATTATTCTTGTGGCGTTCTAACCTAACTTATCATTCTCATTCTTAATCGTTCAAGGGTGTGGCGTCAACCAACTCTATACCTCTAGTTCTTTTTGCATCATAAGCAACAAGTCAAGGTCTTTACCTCTGGTTCTTGTTGCGACATAAACAACGGGTCAAGATCCTATCATAAATCTAATTTGGCTTTCCTAGAGTTTAAAAATCCCTTGTTGTGCTGTGGGCTTCATTGATCTCTTTGGAGTTCTCATCAAAAGCTCCACTATCCAATTAGCCAAAGTGCTTCCCAAGGCAAGAGTAATGATCATGTCAAATAAGGGTTCATCCTTAGGAGCAATAATACTCAAGTTTCTCCACATCCTAGATTTGCTCTTCATTTATTGAATCTAGATCCACATGCCTTGTGTGTAGGTCCACTATAGCTCTTGTTAGGCAAGTAGACTAAAATTCGAAATGCCTTTTCCATGAAGGTGCTTTCAATAAAGATTCTTCTACATTACTCATTTAGATCCCATCATGCCTTCCAAAACTAAAGCTTAAGGTTTCCATTTGTAAATTTTGGCAACAGCAAGAGTTGATTCAAATCTTGAAGTGCTTTATGGAAAAAGTTTGAAAGATCGGTGAATTTTTACACCTTTTTTTTTTTTTTTTTTTTAAAACCATGCACAAATCATGTGAAGGTTCAAATTCATTTCGATGTTTCATGCTAAAATATGGGTTATGCTTTCATGAATTGACACTATCATTTATTTTGAAATGCAAGTAGGATGCCGCCAATTTACCTACAATTCCAACTTCTTTTGTTGTTGGTTGTTTTTTTTTTTTTTTTAAAAAAAAAAAAAAACAATTAACCTCGCACTCAGAAACAAACAAATGTCTCAAGAATGGCTCATTCAAGGCTCAAACTTAGAAATTGATAAGGACATGCTTGTAGAAA